ACAGGTCACCAGTCTATCACAGGGCTACACTTAGAGACAGACAACCAAGCACACTCACATTCACACCTACGGACAATTTAGAATCACCAATTAACTTCAACATGTCTTTGGACTGTGGGAGGAAGCCAGAGAATCCAGAGAGAACCCACGCTGCACAGGGAGAACATATAAACTCCAAGCAGAAAGATCCAGGACGTGAACCGGCGACCTTCTTGCTGCGAGGCAACAGTGCTACCAACTGCGCCACCTTGCAGCCCAGCTTAATAACTGAATAATCATTAGCAGCATCTTTAGTTTGGGTATGATTTTAACATTAGCCAACAAGAAGATAACGTCTGTCATGCCCAGTGTTTTTGTGTTATTTCCTACAGTGGTTCTCAAACTGGGGGCCGGGACCCCCATGGGGGTCCCAAGATAATTTCAGGGGGTCGCCAGATCATTGTAAATAAAAAAAATAAAAATAAAGCCTACATTTATCAAATACATTTGTATTAGGGCTGTCAAAATTAAAAGTGTATACTTCTTCCCACTCCTTTTTCAGACTTGTTAATGTTATGATTTGATTATGTTGTGTTATTATTATTTTGACTCTTTTTTTAATGCTCTTTTTAAAATTGTTTTCTTTTGTTTTTAGATTTTTTCATCCCTTTCATTGAAAGAAAATTAACGTGTGAATGTGAAGAGATTAATCTGTGGAAAGTTATTACTAGTGCCATATTAAAAATTCAGTTCGGGGGTCACGAACACAAACTTATGTTGTCTTGGGGGTCATGGCTCAAAAAGTTTGAGAACCACTGACTTACAAGAACATTTCAAAAATATGCAAACAGATTTAGCTGAATTCTGATTAACCAGTTTTTTTGTGTGTTCTCGTTTTTTTAATTTAATTTTTTAAAAAACAAAACAAAAAAACTTTATAGATCTTCCTGTTATTGTCAACTTACAGATTATAGCCAATAAATTCACATGTATTTGTTTACATGATAAACCTTGAAAGAAAATATATATATATATACATATATAAAGTCAATACTGCAAGTAATATCCACATCAGAAATCAGTTGAGCTGTTTTAACAAATGATAATTAATTCCTTTACAGCACTTGACTTTA